AATCGACTGAAGAACAATAAAACAGAAGGAGCCGATGGGTTATCAGCCGAATTATTCAAGACTGGTGATCAGATGCTGGTCAGTAGCATGCACCAGCTGATTAGTACAATTTGGCTAGAGGAATGCATGCCCAATGATTGGAACATCAGCATCCTGTGTCCCGTGCACAAAAAGGAGGCAAGACAAGATATGTGCCAACTATAGAGGAATTAGTGTTCTTCCCATAGCATATAAAGTGCTTGTGCGTACATTTGGAAGGAGGATATTTTCATTTAAATTTTGAAAGCTGAATGTTGTCAAAAGTAAAATTATGAAAAAAACGGAATCATATGTCTGCATGAGACTACCTTGTGTAATTATGCTTCAAAATAAAAACATTTGTTTTTTACCCGACCATCTGCCAATTTTTTCTAGTAATATTTCTCATGATTGGCAACATTGCACATCGAATTCAAGTAGAAACTACGCACTTTGACAGTTAATCGAATAACCAGCTGCTCTACATGTGACATGGTTTATTACTCCCTAGTCCGGAGGCGGTCCAAAAACTTAAAGCACAAAAAAGTGCCATGGTTGTGACCATGGCACAATAAATAGGTAGTCCATCTAGCGCACCTGATGTCTCGATTAACTTTCAAAGTGCGTAATTTCTACTTGAATTCGATGTGCAACGTTGCCAACCATGTAAAATATTATAAGGAAAAATTTGACAGATGACCGAGACAAAAACAGAGGTTGTTGTTGTGATACATCACCTTATTATTGCATCATGGTTGTGCAAAGCTAAACCTGGGTCCTGGGTTTGTCTCAATCGTACGATGTTTTATAAAGGACTTCAATTAAAAAGAAACCACTTATTTTATTTTTAATTGTTCCATATATTTCTTTTTATTATTTTACAAGTCTTTAAAATATTTTATACAAAAAATGGTATAAAAATAACAAAACATTTTAATCAAGGAAGGAAGGACAATATTAACAAATTAGAATTAGGCAGTCAAATAGTTTATCGTTTATAATTATCATTATCATTACGCGACTTAAAACACTAACACCCATGCAGCATGCGACTGACTCTTTACAGGCATTTCTTTTGCAAATATTCATAGGCGTATTCAAAGACCAACAACATAATAGCACCACCGGGACCCAAACGCATAATCTTTGGCGCCAAACCCTTATACAAAGCACGGAAACCTTCTTCACGATACACCAAAGCCATTGAACCGAATGTTGATTTGTACTTGATGACACCGGGTTGGGGCTGAGGTCCCTGGATGCGTGATTTCGCCACATCGAAGGGAATATTGACAAAGCAGGCCAGCGTGCCGGAGGTGAAACCGATCAATACTTTACGTAAGAATTCCTTTGTATGATCATCGTAGGCGGGTACAATATTCTTGACACTGTGATAGAAACCGAAATAGACCATATTGAAGACACCGTTACGACCCATAGTGGCGGTTACGCCCTTATTTAGGCCACGGAAACCGAAACCATCTTTTTGGATAATTTGTTTCGTTACAGACCAGGTACTTTGTGCTTCTTTCATTTTTGTCTTGTCGGCTTGTTGGGCAACCTTAACGACTTCGAAGGGATTAACGGCAATGGCTTCGAGGAGACCGGCAGTTAAACCGGCCAGGGAGAAAGTCTGTGAAAGAGAGCGAAGGTGTGAGATTATAGATTAATATAAAGTTAAACAAAAACCTCTAATGGACCTAATATAGATCCTTTGAGGATCTTCCTTCGAAAGATCACTCATCGATGAGAGACCTTCTACTTACCAATGGTGTTGGGGCTGGTGCTCCAAACAAAAACAGCGGCTTAGTTTGTTCGAAAATTACGAATTTAATGGCTCTCTTGGGGGTTTCTGCAATGACGGGTGGCAAAATGCCCTTCCAGAAGGAATATAGGCCCTCGTGGCGGTACATTTTGCTAAAGCAATCGAAAACGCCTTTGTACTGATGCTGCAGATCAAAAAAAATTTAAATAATTACTAAAAAAATTAAATTGTTTATAAAAGACATAATTATTTTACATAAAAGCTTTTAATAAATTTCACAGCAACACCTGACACCAAAAGCTTTAGCTACATTTTGCCACGTTTTCGAATTAATCAATCAAAAAACTGCCGATTCAGGAAAACATTTTGGGCAACCAATAAATGTATGTTTGTAAAATATTTAAAATGTTACATACGCACATTTTTTATGTTATCTTATTACAGACCGGAAATATGTTGTGAACCAAAATGTCAAGTAAAACCATTAGTATCGAGTTTGAAAATAAATACGGCAGTGATTATGGCATTCCAAAACCAGATTTTGCATTTATTCCCGAAAAATGCCATTAATGAAGATATTTTGTCGTCAATTTTTAGTGGGGGAACGGCATGTGGTAATTTTCAAGTATAAACTGAGCTGGGGAGCTATTATATTATGCGGATATATACTGGATATAGTAAATTTTCGAAACATAACTGTACTTTTCTTTAAGACTGAAAGGGCACCAATTGCAGAATTACGGTATTATTTTCGAAAAATGTTTTCTAAGAACTAATGAGACAGTATTTTTTTGATTTTTAAAGACAGTTTCTTAATATGAAGAACGTAGTTCGGACCCCACGTTGGGCGCCATCTGTTAAACATACTATGCAGAAAGACTGAAATGGCGTTAAATATCGTATATAAGTGGTCGAGGCCAAGGGACGACCTAATGTATATTCGGACCAGCTGAAGTTATCATCATGAAGTTTTCATCAGAAAGACAAAAAAAGGAGTAAGTTAAATATCCGGAATAGTTAAATATCTGGAAATCATCCTGTACGAGAAATAGTTAGAGTAAAACCATCGATACTATATTAAGGATACAATTTTAGGCTCTATTAATACTTTTGAGTCAGACCGAACCAGTGTTGCCGTCAAAAAACAAAAAAAAAATTGGAGCAATTGCGGATTATTAGAGGGTAGTAAAAGACATGGAGAGATTAAAAATAAAGGAAATAAAAATTAATAAGTTAAAACGGCGTTAAGTTCGGCAGGTCCGACCTTTGGATACCCTCCTCCATAGGTATATTGACAGATACTTCCAATGAAAATATACGGAACATACCAAAAAGTATACTGCCTATACTGAGAATCGTACAAACCGATTTATGTAAACCATTATGTACACCAAATACAAATTTCAGCAATTTTTAATGGTGATTTTTCCTTACATCTGAAAACCCCAAAGCGTGGACTGATACTAAAAACGCATGGTAGAGTATAAAATCCTCAAACTACTGCAATTTAGATAGCAAAGTTATGCCTGAAGGGGTCTAATATTGATTACATAGTGTAGGAATTAGCGAATATATGAGGGCTATGCCTAATTAATGAACGATATATGCCAATTTCGAACCCAATATTTTAGTTTTGTATCTCAATTCTTTCCTTCAGGAGGTATATGCCTGCCGATATATTTCATTATCGTCAGGTTCGAGTTTTTTTATCACGATATCCTTAGAAGGCGGAATGATTACAACATATGGCTAAATCGTCTTAGAATTCCACCTTTTTAGGGTAAAAACTGACTATTCCGAGTAACGACTACCCCTATACTAATGTAGAACTGCAGCGAATTCGGTTAAAAAACCCGCTCAAGAACCCCAAAATACCGAAAATTGGGTGTACCCTTATATGGGGGCTACCCGAAAAAATGAACCTATATTTATAATTTTTAGTGGAGAAATTTGGTACCCAATAAAAACCCATTGTACCAAATTTCAGCAATTTCGGTTGAAAAACGCGCTTAAAACCCCGAAATACCGTAAATTGGGGGGTACCGTTGTATGGGGGCTACCAGAAAAAGTGGACCGATATTTATAATATTTAGTGGAGATATGTGGTACCCAATGTACCAAATTTCAGCGAATTCGGTTGAAAAACGCCCTCAAGAACTCCAAAAGATCGAAAATTGGGGGTACACCTATATGGTGGCTATTCCTAAACGTGGATCGATATAGCCCATATACGAACTTGACCTGCCTGCAGACAAAAGACGACTGTACGCAAAGTTTTGGTGATCTACCTCACTTCGTTTAGACGCTAGAGTGATTACAACAGACAGACGGACATGGTTAGATCGTCATAGAATTTTACGCTGATCAAGAATATTTATATATTATGGGATCGGAAATTATTATTTCGATGAGTTACAAACGGAAAAACAAAACTATTATGGAGTGTATAAAAAGGGGGTTATATAGGGATTACGCCTAAAAGGGGCCGAATATTAATAATTTTTGGGAGGGAGATTTGTTACCATATACGACTACAAAGTACCAAATTACAGCGAATTCGGCTGAAACCCGTTCTCAAGAACACCAAAATATGGGAGCTAATCCGAAACGTGTACCGATATACCCCAACATCGGACTTAATCTACCTGCAGACAAAATTCAGCACTATGAAAAGTTTTGACGATCTACCTCAATTCATTTAGAGCCTAGAGTGATTGCAACAGACAGACGGACATGGCTAGATCGTCATAGAATTTTACGCTGATCAAGAATATTTATATATTATGGGATCGGAAATGATTATTTCGATGAGTTACTAACGGAAAACAAACTTAATATACCCTTCATACTATGGTGGATGGTATACAAATGGAGTAGCAGACGGTCCAAACAAGGAACCACCATTATCCCCAGCGAAGAACTAAACTATTTTATTTTTCACAAATTATTAATGATAGGAGTATGTAATTCCTTACGGGTTTTCATGATTGGGCTATATAATTTCAATATTCACTAATGTTTTGTCAATAATCTGATTTTTTTTATTCTGGCGGATCATTTAAACTAACTTCCACCAGAATATGTTGTCATAAGAGACCTCCTTGTACCATTTATAAGGCCACATATCGAGGGATAAGTGTATGGTTTGTCTAAACAAAATACAAAATGTACCCTACTATTTACCTATATATAAAAAACTACAAACAAATTTTAGATAATAAATGTTGACATGTGTGTGTTTATTTGTACTGCTACGCACACGCTTGCCGGAGCTCATAAAATTTGACACACTTCAAACAACAAACACAATGGATAACTTGTCCATATTGGAAGGGAAGTGTCTGTTGTGCAGGGGATATTTTATACAGCACACACAACACATATCTCCCCGCAGAGAACTCAAAATAGTCAGACACATGTTGGACATGCAATACTCAGCTGATCGGAATATTGGTCGTAACCATATCAATGTGTTTACAGTAACAAAAAAAGAAAATAGTGCAAGTGGCTGGCTGTTAAAATGGTGATGTATTAGAATATGTCTATAAGGTACTTTCAAGTGGTTTTTACCAGTACAAATGACCTTGAACTGTCCTTAACAAAAAAAAAAAAAAGAAAAAAATTAAAACCAGCAGCTATTATGTGTGACAAAATATATGTGGCGATTAACTGATAACCGCTGATTAAGATAAAAAGTTTGTTCAGTAAATAAAACCTCACTTTTACTTGAAATTTATTTAGGGCGATCATATCAACTGATGTTAATAACCTTTAGATAAATATTAACGATCTGTTTGATTAACATGTGTTAAATTAAAGTCTGATTAAAAGATCAAATAAAAACAGAATTAAAAAAATCAACAAGTGATAATTTTTGAAATAAAAACATATTGGGTCTCTTATATATATATAGCACAAAACAATAATAGACTTGTTATACAGTATCGATCACATAATTAGCACACCTATTATAGACAAATTGTTTTCATTAAACCAAAAAGATTTAATGTAAGAAGTAAATATTATCATCGGCTTGTGTGAGAAATATCGAAATATTAGGGGGACATGCATTTAACAGATATTTGGGATTTCAGTAACTTATTGTTTTATACCCTCCAACATGGGTGTATATAAAATGTATCCTTCCATTTGCAAGACATCGAAATATTCAACTGAGACCCCATAAAGTATATATACAGGGTGAAATAAAAAAACTGCAACAAAGTCAAACGCCATAATTTTTACATTTTGTTTTTAATTTTATTGAATGAATGCAAAAAATGCCGAAAATAGCATAAAATTTTAGAATAAGATTAGATTTGTTCCAATTTGTCACCTTTGGCACGAATTATGGCCTTCAAACGGCCAATGAAACCGTCACACGCTGCCCGAATGTTGCTCTGCGGTATTTTGTCCCATTCACTGCTAAGCGCTTGCTTGATGAGATCGACACTTTGGTATTTTTTAGTGCCAAGCTTGCTTTCCAAAATATTCCAGACACAATAGTCTAACGGATTGGTATCCGGATTTCTGGCCACTGTGCTGGAAATGAAGCGAGGAACCGCATTTTGTAACCATTATTGAGAGAGAGAGAGAGAGAGAAGTGCGATGGTGCTGAGTCCTGTTGGAATGTCCAAGGTCTGCGGCCAAAATATATTCGACATTTATTCTGATGCCACGGTCTATTAATACGAACGGAGAGCGGCCCACACCATCACCATTGCTTGAGTTCTGGTGTCCAACCGAAGGTGCACATTTTCAGCTGACAAGTAAACACGATCATTTTGTTTGTTTACAAACTGCTGGACAACGAATGTTTTCTCATCGGAGAAATCCAAATTCGGGAGTTCACCACTTCCGGCCAAGCGAAGCAACTCTCTTTTCTTCCTGTTGCGGTGTAAGTTCTTGCACTTTTTGGTATTTCAATGACTTTATCACGGTAAGGACCGAGACACAACAGATTTATTCACATTTTTTTCAATATTTGCTTTCCAGCCAAATATAAAGAAATATTGCTTGAATTCCATTGTTCTGAAAAAGCTCACAAAATGCTTTTGTCGTGTAAACACAGCATTTATATTGGATATCACTTTATATGCGAAATTGAAAAAAAGGAGGATTTTCTAATTCGTTTTGTGAATTTTATTTGTAGTGTCAGTAATTTGAAATACCAATCCAGAACAT